TCATGAGAGGTGGTTAGTAATGAGGTGTAGACACTGAGGGTGGTCAGTTTACAATCATGAGAGGTGGTTAGTAATGAGGTGTAGACACTGAGGGTAGTCAGTTTACAATCATGAGAGGTGGTTAGTAATGAGGTGTAGTCACTGAGGGTAGTACAATCATGAGAGGTGGTTAGTAATGAAGTGTAGGCACTGAGCCGGTTGATCAGTTTATAATCGTGAGGGGTTTTTATTACGACGTATAGACTGATAATAGTTAACAGTCATTACAACTAACTAGTGCATCACAGTGCATAAATTTAAAAGTTCATATCACATAATAACATATACCTACATTATGCTGTGGAGGTCAGTGTAGATGAATTCTCGTAGGAGGATGTCTGGATGTTGGGGGTGATGTTATTAGACCCTCTGTTCTCTAGATATTGCCGGTTGGAACTGTTTTTATCCCATGGTTTTTTGGAGTCTTTTAATTCCTGGCAGAAAATGAATAAGTACTAAATATTATCTTCAGTTCTTTAGTTAACATGCAATTTTTGGCACTGTAAAACGATCATTGCTATTTTAATCAGTTTACAAATGCAATAGCAGCACTCGCAACACATGCGTTGCACCAGATTAGGTAGAGCAGTTTTCGTATGACTGTGAAAAGCTCACGGCACGAACAAGGTCATGACACGGCAAGTTGTACTCCAGACCAGTCACATTGCTCAAGAATTTACTCTCCATCCAATCAAATACCCGGAACACGGCACAAACACGGCGCGGGCATGGTCAAGCCACAGTCTCGGCACTGCCAGACCAAGCACATGCATTACGCAAGAAAAAATCAGCCAATTGAAATTCTAGAAAACATCACGGTCACTACACGGCACGCTTAACGCACTGAGATTGTCTCAGTCATACGAAAACTACTCTATCATATTGACACTTCGCCTTTATTAACATTAACATTATCTAAAGATTACCTGAGCATTCCTCTCCTGGATTTGTCTAACCCTGATTAAGTCCAGCCGAGACCCCAGTATCATGGAGTTGGTCATCATTTCATTCCTCAAGTTTGTCAATTCAACATTATGTCTCTTGCAAGTAGTAAGTAGTGCCTCTTGATCACTAAGCTTCCCCTCGAGGATGTGGACCTCCGCATTGCGGTGACTCAGAAACGTTTTGCAGCCATCCAACGAATCAGAAATCTGCTGTTTCTCTTGTTGCAGGCGAAGAATCTGTGCCCGGAGTTCCTCGCTGCTTCTGTCGAGTCGTTTGATTTCTTGGTCCTTCTTTTCGATGCTGTGCTCGAGCTCGATCACGTGCCCCTTGGTAAAGTTGTGCTTCTTGGTGATTTCAACTTTGTCCAACTGTTCGCTCTCTACAGCTCGATTTAACTCGGATATTTTGTCTTTTAAATCTTCAATTTCATCCTTGAGTTTGTTCTCTGCCTTGTATCTTTTCTTGATGAAGAGCTGAAGGTCTTCGATCTTTGAGTTAGCTACTTTGGCTTCAAAGACCATTGAATTTTCTCGAGACTTGTATTCAGCTTTGTCTCGAACCTTTAATGGGACAGATTAGAATGACTTAGAAACTAGAACGATTAAATGTGAAGATTTATGTACGATAGTGATAAGAAATGAAAAAGCAAAGTTTACAGTACACTTTTCTCCCTCCTTCCCTCCTTCCCTCCTTCCCTCAGCCCCTTTCTCCTTTCATCCTTCCAATCTTCCTTTATTCCTACCTTCTTCCATTTCTCCATCCTTATTTCCTTTCTTTTTGTCCTCTTTCTCCCTTCTTTCATCCATCAAATCTTCCTTCCTTTTTCCATTTGAGTAGTGAGCCCCCCCCCCCCCCATATACCGTAGTAGCTACCCCCCCTCCCCCAGCTACTACGTTTTGGGGGGGGGGGGGGGGAGCTCACTACTCATTTGTCCATTTCTTCCTTTTTCCACTCCTTCCTCTCTCCCTGCCTCCCCTTTCTTCCTTTTCTTTCTTCCTTTTCTTTCTTCCTTCTCTTCTTCCATCCTCCATCCCTCCATCTATCTATCCATACTTTCTTCCCGCTTTGTCTTCCCCAGCACATTAAACATTCTTATCTCATATGTAGTTTCCTATTCGAGGACTAATACCCCTTCAAACGTCGCTCCATGTCATCTCGCCTTTTCCTCCCGTCTCATATCCCTCATAGCGTGTGCTTCAAATCCTTATAATCAAATTTTCTATAATTATAATTTTACCCTTTTATCTTCCGCTGCTGAGATCTTACTCCTCAACTCTATGATCTCATTCTTCAATTCCCCTTCACGGTCCTCCAGCCTAGTGATTTCATTCTTTAGTTTTTGAACTTTATTTTTCACTTGTGTAATTTTATTTTCGTTTTCTTCGTTCTGTTGTTGCAGAACTTGCTTGTCTCTCAGCAAGCAGGATTCGTTGAGCTTCAACTCTCTCAGCTGAGCGTGAAGGTTGTTGTTGTTGTCACGGAGGATTTTGATGTCTTCATGCATCCTTTTATTTGCATCTCGTGATGTTTGTGTGATATTCAGTATATCTGACTGGTAGTCATTGTACTCCATACTGATCCTTCTTTTTTCACCTATTAGAAGTTGATTACTATTAATAATTATTTCATAATCAGGAATATGTTTGGATTTAATCACCTCAACGTGGAAAGAATTCCAATGCCATATTTTGGAACCCAGTTAACAGCCTAAATTAGGAAGCCTTTTTCGTGTTCAAAAGTCATTTTYATGCCATATATTGCAAGCCCCTTCAATGTTAAAATTGGGAAACCATTACCTAGATCGAAATGTTTTTCCTTTCTAGACCACGTGTCATTCTCTCGAGAATTAGATTATTTGCTTGAGTTGTATCCACATTTACTTGTCTTCTCATGCGCAACCGTTAAACAAAACAATTATGCTCAAGAGAATGACAAGTGGTCTGAAATACGAAAACAATGGGAAGACAGCTGCCACCTATGTGAGCTTCCCCTCTTTTTATCACCGACTCAGGTATCAAAACTTTCTCTTACCTTCAAGAGTCTTTACAGTCAAATTCAGCTCGTCTATTTTCTCCAGAAGCTCGTTCTCGCTTTTCCTCAGCTCGCTGATAAGCTTACGCGAGGTCCTTGTGGATGAAGATTTGTCATTGTTGAGCTCTTCAAGTTCAAGTAACAATTTCTCTTTCTCCACTCTGGCCGATTCAACCTGTACCCTCAGGTCATTCTCCTTGGTTATGTGCTTCATCAGCTCTCCATTCATTTCCGATATTTTTGTTCGCAGACTTTCAGACATGCTGTCATTTTCCAACCTGATCTTCTGGATCTCTAGACTCTTTTCTTCGCGCAGTTCTGCCTCGCGTTTAGCTCGATCATCAAGCTCATTCCTCAGCTGATTTATCTCGTCTTCAAAGAACCCCAGCTGTTCTTTCAACTCCATCTCTCTTCTGGATTGCACTTCGAGCTCCATGTTCAAGCTCTCGACAACCTTACTTCCCTCTTGAATGACATTTTCTTTCTCATCCTCAAGAGCTTCGGTTTGCTTTCTCAGCGAATCAATCACGTGGCGAAGGTCTTTCTCTTGGTCGCTTTGTAGCTTGAGTGTTTCACACATCTTCTTGATCTTTTCCTCGTACCTTTTGACTGTTCCTGTCTTTTCCATTCTGTTTCGGATGAGTTCTTCTTCAATTCCTCCTTTTTCTGCCTGTAGTTCTTCTATCACTTTATGAGCGTCAGACAGTTTCTGGAGAACTTCAACTTCACGTTGAACCATTTTCTCAACTTTTTCTTGTTGTCCCTAAAAACAATTTTCCATATACATCGATTATTAACTGAATGTAAGGCTCTTTAAAGCTCAATATCAAAACCTACCTCAGAAAACTTGGCATATTTCTTTGCTTTGTTCTCCAATTCATCTCTTTCTGCTAGTGTCATCTTAAGACTTTCCTTCAAATTCTCCATTTCTGCCATCATCCGATCCGAGGATTCGTTTCTAACATTCAAACACTCATCAAACTCATGTGACCGCTTCTGGATAAGCTCAAAAGCGTCACGTGCTTGTATTTGACTCTTCTTCGTCTCGATTTCAAGGTCCTTTTTCTGCAGCTTCAATTTGAAGACTTCCTCTTTTAGGGTCTTTTGAAGCAACTCAAGCTTTTCTTCTTTCTGTTGCAGCAATTCTTTCAGGCTTTCAATATCCTTATCTTTTTCAGCCTCCATTTGTAGAAGCTGTTCCTTCAGTGAGGAGATCTGTTCTTTCATCTTGTGTGCGTCACGGCATTGCCCTCGGTACAACTTGGCTTCCAATAAAGCCTCTTTGTTCTCCAGCTTTAGCTCCTGCACTCTTCTTTTCAGCTCTTTTTCTATCTTGTCCTTTTCCTCCAGACATTGCTCCAGGTTATCTTTCCATTGTAGAGATTCAAGCATTGTCTGGATGGTTTTGTCCGCCTGTTCCTTTGCGCTCTCCATCTGTGCAAGCTTTTCGCTCACTGCCTCCAATCGCTTTTGTATTTCCCACTCTGATTCATATCGTTCCTTCAAGGATTGCTGCAAACTAGATATCTTCTCGTCTGTTTGGCTCTGTAAAAGCTCCGATTCACATTCTTTCGCCGCTCTTTGCTTTTCAGAGTTCTGAAGCTCGTGTTCTACTCTTTTCTTTTCAATTCTAAGCCTCTGTATGGCATCTGCCATTTCATTCATGCGTAGCATCATCTTCTTGTCCGCATCTCTTGATATCGCTATACAGTGCTCGATCTTTTCTTTATCTTCCATGGACTTCAGTATTGATGTGATCATTTTTTCGCCCTCAGCTTTCTCATCTTCAAGATGGGTGATCTTCTGATTTAGAGACTGTAACGTTTTGAAGAGCTCAATATCCGAGGCCTTTAGGCTTCGTTTCAGGTTCTCTATATTCTCTTGTAAGGTGGGCTTTTGGAGATGCTGTGGTTCGTCGTCCTCAACAGTTTCATTGACAAAGGACTGCAGTTCTTTAACCCGTTCGTTGCATCTGTTTACATTCTCTGTCAGTCTTCTTATATTCCTTCGAGATTCCTCATACTCCTCTTTGTACCTCTCCTTCAACTCCTCGTCACAATCTGCTTTGTTCTTTTCCTTTCTCAACTTGTTGACGATGACTTCCATCTCATCAATTTTGATCTTGTATTCCCTCTCAGCCTTATCTTTGGCCGTAATTGCATCGGCAAGGTCTTCTTTGGTTTTCAGTTTTCGCAACATCGATGAAATGTTCTTGCAGTGTTGGGATTTCTCGGCCTCTAGTCGCGAGATCTTATCCTCCAGCATTGTCATTCTTTCTTTAAGGTCTTGTTCAGACTGCCCCTTGGACAACATCTGTTTCTCAAGCACCCTTATCTTGTCGTCTGAACTCTTCTTAGCCAGGAGCGCTTCAGATTCCCTTTCTTCTGCCTTGCGATTGTCTTCTGTCAGCCGTTTGATGCGTTCATTTAACTCCTTCTCCCGTTCAGCGCACCCGTCAAGATCGTCTTGGAGTTGCTTACTTTGAAGTTTTAAATTTCTCGAAGAAGAAAGAAATTCAGAATCTTTCTTTGCCAGCTGATGTTCTAGATGCTTCTTTGTTGATCTGATCGTTGAAAACTTAAGCCTCATTTCTTCCACTTTGCTGGCAAGCTCTCGCCCCAACTCTTCCTTCTTTTTGAGTTTTTCTTCAAGGTTTTTATTGGCATCCATAGCTTCCATCAAGGTCTTCATGTTATCGTCTCTCTCTGCTTTTTCAGCATTCAATTGGGAGATCCTGGACTCAAGAGATTGCACCTTTTCTTGGAGCATCGTTTCAGAGTCGCTCTGATCTTGAAGGCGCTTTTCCAAAGCAGTTATCTTCTCCTCAGATTCCCTTCTTATCAGCATTATGTCGTGCTGCGCTGTCTTCTCAGCATTCTCTTTTTCAGTGGCAAGTTCAGATATTTTTACCTCCATATTTGATAGGTTTTCTTTGAGCTCAGTGTCTTCGTCAAGCTTTTTAAGCTTGATTTCGACCTCCTTGGCTTCGATGGATTCCATAAGAGCTTGAATCTTCTTATCACTCTCAAGTTTCTCTGCCTTCAGTTGATCGATTTGTTGGCTCAAAGTTTCTGCTCTCTCCTGTAGTTCTATTTCTGAATCCTGTCGACCCTTGAGCTGTTTTTCCAATTCGTTGATAATTTCTGACGAGCTTTGTCTCACAAGCTTCACCTCTGCCTCACGCTCATCCACATCTTGACCCATTTTTTCCATAGTCTTTTCCATTTCTTCCTTCTGTTTTGAGTGAGTGCTCTTCAGACAGGCCAATTCTTCCTGTAGAGTTTGGCGGTCCTGAAGGCACTTCTCCAACTCTTTCATACGGAATTCTAGGCTTTCTGACGTCTTTGCCACTGCTGATTTATGTTCCTCTAACTCCTTTTGAGCCTCGGATTTCTCAGTAGTGAGTGCCAGAATTGAATTCTGCAGTTCCACTTCCGTTTCTTCCCATTCCTTTTTGCACTTTTCCAGTTCATTCTGTCCTTGCATGCTCTCGACCATTGCCTTCACTTGGCTCTCACTCTCGAGTTTTTCAGCCTCGAGAGTAGAAATCCTCTTTTCCAGGGACGTGACTGTGTCTTGGAGCTTGGTCTCCAACACATTTTTGTCCGCCAACGTCTTTTCCAATTCCGCTATCTGCTCGTCAGATTTGCTTTTCAACATAATTGCATTTTGCCTACTGGCTTCCATAGCCTTCATATTTTGCACTTTATCTTCTTTTACTTGCTCAAAGAATGCCTCAAACATATCAATTTTTTCGCTAAGCTTTTCATTGAATGTTTGAAGTTCCATTATTCGTGCCTCACTTTCAGCACTTGTGGAAGGAGTACTGCTCACCGACTCTTCTTTCTGTATCTCTTGGCTGAAGGCCTTTAGCTTTTGTTCAAGAGCTTGTTTTTCCGCCGCGACTTCCTTCAACTTTTTATCGAGGGACGCGTTCTTGTTCTTTAGTTCCGAGAGTTCACCTTTCAGGCTCTTGACGCAAAATCTCTGGTTTTCACAATCCCCTTGAAGTTTTTGAATATGGTTGAGGTGGATTTCAGTTTGACGACGAAAGGTTTCTGCGTCTTTAACTGCTTCCAGTTTCTGTTCAAGAACTTCTTTCTCCATTGCAACGTTTTTCAACTTTTTATCCAGGGTCGCATTCTTGTCCTTTAGTTCCGAGAGTTCATCTTTTAGGCTCTTGACAGAAAGTCTCTGATTTTCACAATCCCCTTGAAGTTTTTGGATGTGGTTTAGGTGAATTTCAGTTTGACGACGAGAGCTTTCGTTCTCCTTATTAACCTCCAGCTTTTGCTCTAGATCTTGCTTCTTCGCCACAACATCCTTCAACTTTTTATCCACGGCCTTCAGCTTTTGCTCTAGAGTTTGCTTTTCCACCACAACATCCTTCAACTTTTTATCGAGGGACGCATTCTTTTCCTTTAGCTCCGACACCTCACCCTTTAGGCTCTTGACGCAAAGTCTCTGATTTTCACAATCCCCTTGCAGTTTTTGGATATGGTTGAGGTGGATTTCAGTTTGACGGCGAGAGCTTTCATTGTCCTTAACAGCTTCAAGCTTTTGCTCTAGATCCTGCTTCTCCACCACAATATCCTTTAACTTTTTATCCAGTCTCTCATTATTTTCCTTGCGCTCTGAAAGCTCGGTTTTTAAGCTCTTAACAGACAGTCTCTGATTTTCGCAATCTCCTTGCAGTTTTTGAATATGGTTCAAATGCATTTCAACTTGACGACGCAAAGCTTCGGTGTCTCGAACTGCTTTATCTCTTACCTCGCCCATGTAATCAGTAAGCGTATCGTTTTCCGCTTGCAGCCCAATCATCTGCTCTTCAAATTCGTCCAGCTGTAATTCCCTCTCTTGGAGCTGTTCACGTAACCGAAGAATTTTATCTGCTTCTCCGCCCTTTGTGTCTTCTGTAAATCTCACTCTCTTTTCTTTCACTTTCTTTTCCAGTCTCAGATTTTCTTCTTTTAGATTCTTCAGCTGTTCTTTTAAGTCGTCAACCATGCTCTCTAGCTTCTGGAATCGTGATTCTCCTTCTACTGTCTCGTGTTCTTCACAACTTGGTCCAGGTACTTGGGCATTAGACGAGCACGAACCAACAGCCTTTAAGCAAGGGTTTCCTATAGCTTTCAGCAACCCAGAAATGTCATAAAGAATCTGCACGGCAATTTCCATGTCTGATGTACAAGGATGTGCCATAGCAAACGGATCGTTTTCTGAGATTTGTTCGACACGGTTGATGACATCATTTATCGAATCGATCTTGTTTTTCAGTGCATTTTGCAAGTTTTCAAACTCTTCTCTTGGCATTCCCTCTTTTTCGATATTTTCCCGCCTAACATCGAGTAACTTAATTTTTTGCTCGCTCAGTTCTTTCATCAACGTTTCATTTTCCAACTCAAGTTCGTCGATATATTTCTTAAGGTCCTTTTCTTCGCTTTCTCTTTTGTCAAGCTTCGAATTCTGGGCATTAAGCGCAGTTCTTAACGCATCGTTACCCTCCAACAGCATTCGTAGCTCACCCAATAACTCATCCACTTTAAGTTGTTTCATCTCAATGTCATGTTTAGCGTTATTCAATTGATGGTCTTTAGCGGCTGTTGTCTCACTCAGGTTATTATCAGCCTGGCACAACTCTTCCTCGAGCTCCTCTATACGTTCTTCAAGTCTCTGACGTTCGGTATTGGAGCTTTTAATTATCCATTCCAACTGTTGAAACTTGGCAGCTTCTACTTCCATCGTCTCATGCAGGCTAGCTATTTCCTCATTTAACTGCTTGACTAACTCTTCATTCTTCTTCATAACCTCACTATTACCGTTCTCTGAATCAGCCTTGGTTAACTTAGCGTTGGTCTTATTGATCTTTTCTCTGAGTTCTTCTGTCATACCTCTGAGTGACTCTATCAGCGTTTGAAGCTCACTGCTTTGATCGTTTTGGCTTGCACCAGGTTGTTGCGTTTGGCTAAACGTGTCAGCTTCTGCAAGTTCAACTGACAAAGGACTTGAAGTAACTTTGAGCTCATTACCAGTACCGTCAGTCAATAAGGCTTTACTTGCTTCGGAAATTTCACCCTGCAGTTTTTTTAGGTCTTCAATTCTATCACCAATTGACGCTTCTTTCCATTGTCTTACCAGCTGGCTACACTTGGAGTTGAGAACATCGTTTTCTTCCTTCATCCGTTGGAACCTTGATTTCAATTGATTTTCTGTCTTTGTCATCTTGGCGATTTTTTCTTTCAAATCTGCACATTCCTTCTTCTGTGTCTTCAAAGAAGCTTCGCACTGGTGAATTTTGTTCTTCAATTCTACGTTTTCCTCTTCTGCCTTCATGGCCTCGACGTCCTGCAAGCTGCAGCTTCTACCCAGCCCGTGCTCTAACCGGTTTTTATCTATCTCATGTTCCTTCTTGTCCTCAGTCTTCTGTACCTGAACTTCCTCTGGCGGTGTTTTAGCTTCATGCTTTCTTAACTTGGTTAACAGCTCTTTCTTTTCTGTTTCTAGAAAGCCGAGGTCGACTTCCATTTTGGACAACATATTCTTCAGCTTTTTACTTTTTTCCTGTGCTTGCGTAGCTTCTGAAGTCTTCTGAGACATTTGGTTTTTGAGCTTTGAATTTTCCTGCTTGAGAGTGTTATTCTCATTCCTCAAGGCACCAATCTTGGCTCTGTTCTCATCGACTTCTTTGAAGTCTTTGGAATACTGATTGAAACTTTCCTGTAGTTCTTCGTAGTCTTTACGGCAACAGTCCACCAGGTTCTGCATCAACGCAATCTCTTTGTCTTTTGATCGAATAGTTTTCTGAAGTGCTTCCACGTTTCCTTCTTCCTCAGTTTGTGACGCCTTGACTTCCTGTAGGGCAGCTTTTATCTGCATAGAACTAGAGCCTTCCCCAAGATTGTGCTCCGGGTTCAGTGCGGTTTGTTGCTTGCCACTTTTATCAGTAGATGTTCCTACACATTCTTCCTGAAGGAGATCCTCCGTGATTCCCACCATCTGCTTGTCCAGTGCCTTTTTTGCGGCTCTTTTCTTTTCTTTGTTGTCATTATCATCACCTTTCTTATCCTCTGGTTCTTTTCGCGGTTTTGGTTTCCATGGATCATTTGGGTCATCACCATCTCCAGATCCTCCTACTGAGCTGCCTTCGCCACTACTGCTTCCGCCAGCAACATCTTGTTTCTTATCCCCAACGTTTCCACTCTTTTCATCTTTTTCACTTCCAGATGGGTTTCCAGCAGTCGTTCTGGTTTCGTTAGATGCCGTTACCATTCCATCAACGCAGACGTCCTGAACAGGTTTTGAAATCATGTCGTCTGCTTCGGTCTGTTGGAGAGTGGGCGTGTCAGTGACTTTATTGTCCAATGTTGAAGCTTCTTTTCCCCTCGAGAAGTAGTCATCAGAAGCATCACTTGCTTCATCTTTCTGGGAAGCCTCTTCAATCTCAGCCTCGGCTGCCGAAAGTAGCTCATCCAGCTCTTCTATGAAGGAGTCTTCATCAGCAGACTCGGACTTGTTCTTTTTTCCATCAATGTCTCTCTTCATTTCCTTCTTATCAACAGGCTCATTGTCTTTATCTGAAGGGCTAGAACCTATTTTCACCACCTGATCATCTTGGTTTTCGACGATAACAGAAGTGCTTGGCTGAACATTTTTTTCTCTAACTACATCCTTCATAGCATCTACAACAGCTTCATTTCCGCTGTCGCGCGAGCTGTTGTTTCCTGTGTATTGACAATCGTCTACAACCTGTAAATTCTCTGGTTTGATGTCCTTCTTCAAGCCTTCCAATTCGGAGGCAGCTAAGATAAATTCAGCAGACTTTTCTATGGCTTTTTCGGGTTTTGAAGGCTTTTTTACATCAATGTCCCAGAAGGAATCATCCGAGAGTGCAGAGATACTGTTATCAGAAGTATCATCATCATCGATAGATGATGAGGTCACAGAAGATACCATTTGGCAGTTGGACAAAGCAGTGGTATCCTTACCACCGTCATGAAGTTGATCTTTCTTCTTGTCGCTGTTTTCATTGGTGTCCTCATTCGATACCATTTGGCAGTTGAACAAAGCAGTGGTTTCCTTACCACCATCCTCAAGATGATTTTCCTTCTTGTCGCTGTCTTCCTCGCTGTCCTCAGAGTAACTCGATTCTTCATAGGCAAAATCAATCTTTATCTTCAATTCATCATCAAACCCACGAGGCATTTTTTCATTTTCTATGGTAGAAGTGCTTGGCACAACTCTATCTTGTCTTTCAAGATCTTTGGGATGTTCTGTTGACCTTTGTTGACTGTCTTCACAGTTACTGGCCACCTGGTAATACCAATTCAGTATTGTCACGGGTGTCACAACCACATTCAAGATCACATCATACACAGTCAGTGGCAATAATAGTCACAGTAAGTCACACTCAAAGTAACACTCGCAGTAAGTCACGGCAACACAATCACAGCTAGTCGCAGTAACATGAATTGTAACACTCAGTTTTGATGTCAAATGTTTTAAATCATGAATAAATGCGTGTTACTAATATCTATTATACAACTCTATCTGTTGACGGCTTTGAAAGTTTACCTCTGCAAACGATCGAATTATTATGAATAAATATAAAACAATGTCATACATTCCTACATTAAAAACGTTCTCAACACTTAAAGGGTACCCCGCCCCTATCTTAAGTTCATAATACCCCTCAATTATAGCGATGGACTTTTAAACCCAATGAGAAACTCCTCCCCTCAAAAATGTTCTAAAACTGGAGAGGTACTACTTTTTTGTAGCACTCTGAGCCTCTTTGGGCACATCTTCCCTCAAAGTCTATCATTCTCTTGTGTTGTTCATCTAATTAGGGAAATCTATCTTAAATCATATGCTGTAAATTGAATCTTTTCAGCTATAGAGGCTTTGCACCATCACGTGATGGCAGCCTTGACGACAGGAGGCAGGAACAATTGAATCTGGTCTAATATGATTTACATGAGAAAGAATTTAGTTTCCCAGGGGGGGAACGACTATATTAGAGAGTTTTAGATTTACGTTCACGGCAAACGTGAAACGTCAGTTGACCATTTAAAAATTATCTTAAATAGCTTAAAAAGAATCGCAAAAAAGTCTAAGTAGTAGAAAAACAAAAGAATATTTGTCTTTGGTGAGAAGGTTTGTAAAAGGTAAAGTAAAATACAGGAAAACTATGAAAACGTGGTCACGTTTGCCGTTTGCGGGAAGAAAAAAAGTCAATCTAAAACTCTCTATTGTTGTGCCTCTTCCCATGGCTGCCATCACGTGACGGTGCAAAGCCTTTACAGCAGTGTAGGTTTGAAGCCATGCGAAGAAAATGTCCAAAATAAAAGTAAGTTCTAGTCACTATTGTCAATTTACCTCTTCACTTTGAGATGGCACACCTCTTTGTACACTCTGATCCTCTTTTGGGGCACATTCGGATTCAGAGTCAGTGGTGAAGAAGTCAGAACCATCCTCATAGTCGAACTTTCGGTTTAATAACCAAAGGTTGTCGGACACAAAACAATCTTCATTATTCTCCTCCTTCGCAAACAAGTCTTCCTTCTTGCTCTGAACCTCCTTTGGGGCACATGGGGACTCAGAGTCAGTGGAGACGAGGTCGTCTGATTCAGCTTCATAAAAAAAGTCTAATTTGCGTGGCTTTAGACCCAAGCTGTTATCAGACTCAGAATCATCAGATTCCTTACTCTTTCTGTCTGATTTTGATCTCTGTTTTGGAAGAAATAAAACTCAGAGTCAAGCTCATGTTTAAACAATGTACATTGTTATGTTGGCCTTCAACCATGAGTCTTTTGCCTCAAACATTTAGATTAAAAACAAAATCAATAAGAAAAATGGGGGATCCTCAGTTTACCCTGGGGGACTGTGTATAATTGATATTATATGTCATTCTCTTGGGCGTAGGTATAAAGAAATGAGATGTTCTATAGGAGAGGATCAGCGAGTATTCTCAACTTCTTTTACATCAGAATTGCAAAAATTCAGGAAATATGTATACATCTCTCAAAATATTAAATTGACATTAATTATATTTCTTGGTTGGTTTCCCGAACAAAATCCTAGATTCACTTCTGAATTACTAGCTAGTAATGATATTTTGGACGTCGCAGTTAAAAATGTGCCTTGAAAATAATATAAAAGATAAAAGTAAACATTATTAAGTTCAGTTTCTACTTACTTTTTTGGTGGTAGCAGCCTTGCTAGAAGTTTTACTTTTGGATCCAGTGCGAGAGCTGTTTGGTTTCTCATTGCTCTTACTGTAATCAGAAAAAGGTATTRATAATATATATATTCAAAAAAGCATCGTTACATGCAATAATACTGGTATTCTATTGCACTGAATTGCATTTTATTTACCTTGAAGGAGATGTTTTCTTTGAATTTTTTAAGCCAACGTTATTTACTTTCTGTTAAAGATAGAAAAAAAAAAAAAAAAAAAGATTAGTTAAAGCTTAATGCATTTGAAATGTCTTAAAATTTGAAAAAACCCAACGTATTATTTAATATATAGTACCTAGAAGTGCTAAACGTATCGTATTGCTTAATTACAGAATTCTTTTTTCGAATTAATAGTCTGAAATATTTAAATAATTCTTATAGTTTCTTCATTGAAATTGACTAATTCTCTATTTGATCTGCCAGTTCTTTTTGAATGTAAATCCGCTGAGTAGTTACCAGGRGCCATAGAGCGTGAAGTTGCTCTTAGCAACAACATTAAATGTGAGCAGCCAATCAGAAATTACTCAACTTGACTTCCGGTGTCCAGACTAAAACGGAAGTTAGCTCTCATTTCCGGTAAATACGTCATCAGTCGAACAAATCAAAGACAGCCAATCACATATTAGATAGGTCCTATTTCCGGTAGATACGTCACTGTAAGTAACCAGGACGAACCAATCAGAAGCTATGTAAAAACCAGCCAATCAGATATTATGAAGAATTTTTTTCCGGTAGACACGACACTGTCAGTCCAGAAAGAACCAATCAGAGGCAATGTAAAAAACAGCCAGTCAAAAATTAAATTTTACGTCACTGTCAATCGAAATTGTTTGTAAGACAAAATGTCAATCAATAGCAAGTAGCCAATCAAAACTTGTTTTAAAAGTGATCTGGGCCTAGCAACTGTGCTTCTTCTTAGCAACGTATGCCTGGCTAATCTTCTCGCTAATCTTTTGCGAAGGAACAAATATGGCGGAAAAAGACGACTTCGATAAAAAATTGAAAAAGCTAACTTAAACTAGTATATTTGCTTTTGTTCTTAAAAAAAAAGATGTCAGAAAAAACAAAAGTATTTAACGAAAAGTTGGAAATAGTTAACGACAACCTTAATGGCTTTAAAATGGTTTGAATAGTTTTCAAAACTCTCGAAGGTAAGTTACATGCGAAATACAAATACATTTTGAAATGAAATAAATGAAATGAACATGAAATAAAATAATAATCTTCAGAGTATAATATTTACCACCCAAAATAATATGCTACAATTAACATTCAGTATATATTTTAGTTGGGTTTAATAAGAAATTAAACTTAATCGTATAACTAAGGAATTGTTGTTCGTTCTTCACTTTGCTTACATAGTTGTTCTTTTTTTCAAAATATTTTTAAATTCTATTTTTAACCAAAAGATTTGTATATTATGTATAAACTTCAAATTCTTATAATACATTTTAATACTTAATACTTTAGTAAATTTCCATTAATCATTAAAGTCCTCATACCTTTCCAGGTTCATCGCACTTCTTATGGTTTAATAGCTCTGGGCTATGGATATTTCTGTATGATGTCTTGCGACCAATTCCACCCGATGGCCTTCCCTGCTCTTCCTCAGGTAAGTCATCTGCTTTCTTAGCCTGGAACTTTCTCGCTGGCCTTAACCTTCCTTGCTGTACAAAAGCCAGAGCACCCGAAGAAGCCTTGGCTGGTACTTTCTTCTCTTTGATGTCTGGAATTACCGAGCGTGACAAAGGGTTAACGCATCGGGCTCGGTTCACACTGGGCGTCTTCTTAAGCTTCAAGCTTTTTAACCTTGCTGGCATCTTTTTGACCGGTTCTGCTCCAGTGTCTTCACTTTTGAAGTTACTTTTTTCAGTTGCGGGGACAACTTTTTCTTCAACTCCTTTGGTGGAGTTCTTTTCCGGATCAGATTCACTTCCGGAAGTTCCGGCCTTGGAAGAATGGACCGCTTTCTTCGCCGGTGATTTGACAGGTACGGGTAGATGACTTTTGCCTCCTGTCTTTGATCTTGATTCCGATTTTGATGAAGTATCGGAATCGTCGCTAGCCGAGCCACTTGAGTGCCCGGTGCGAACGGGAATTTTGGACGGCCTGCTGTAAGGCGCGCCCAGTGGATTCGAGTCCACTTTTTTGGCATTCAACGCAGATGCCATGTTTGTAAGGCGCTAGGGCCTTCGATGATCTTTAACAAGATCTAGTGATCTACTTTTTTGTACTAGATTTCGCTTCCCACTATACTTTTTTCACTTTTTTTTCGCTGCTACTAAAACTACCGACTGTCTCCTTCCCAACTCATTATCCAACAGATTGGATTTCTCATTATCCATTGTTTACGTAAAGCACATACGTCACTGAAACGTCACTAATTTCGTTCTAATTGCGCCTTATATGGCCATGTACTTACCAGGCTCTCTCGTACAAATCGGGCATTCTACTTATAACGCTAACAACGCCTTTACCTAGATTTATTTTTCAATTCTTAATTTGTATAATTTTTTTCTCTTTCATTCATTCATTCACTAATTAATTTATTCATTTACTTTCATCCATTGATTATTTTCCCACTTTCTCTTAATATTTCCCCCTTCTTTTGTCATTATTCTGTCTCTCATTGTTTTGTATTTTAGTATTTTTTTCTTTCTCTTTCTTTTACTTCTTTATCACGATTATATTTTCCTTCAAGCCTTTTTCTACCTTGTATTTGTTTCTTGCTTTTTCTCCTTTAATTGTTCTTGTGAAAGAGCGATGGTACTTAATCCGTGAAATAAAAACAAAATAGCTATTAACTAATAGTCGCAATTTAGTGCCTATTCGGACTAGTTCCTTTACATTCAATTGCATATCGCGACCATTATTGGTTATAATTTCAAAGTTATCAAAGCGTTTGTTTAAATTTCTGATTTTCAACAATAATTTGGATGCAGCTTTTTCCATCAATTTTAAAATCAAAATATAAACACCCCAAATGGTTTTGTTTTTCCGCCGCATACGAATACAGACAGAATCATCACGGAATTCAGCTTCCTGGTACCTGCAGTATAGGTAGAGCTACTTTAGCAAATTTCGGAACAAAGTATGTGCTTTTCGATTCTAATTCGGATCAATGTCCTACGTTTTTCAAGATGCCCGAATCAGAAATGAAAGAATGGTAGCAAAACGTGTTCAATTTGTTTTAAAATATTATTCATCTGTTTTTATTGCGTTAGTTATCTGTGCCTTATTTTGTACTGTACCAATTCAAATATAACCCGTACATAATAGAAGGGATGTTAAAGAGGGATTTCCCAATTTCTAGTTTAATCTTTTATTTACATGATAAAAATATCCCTTTACAAATGAAGTCAGTGTCATTTTACAAATTTAGACAAAAGGCAAATGATAAATATGAAGTAAACTATGTATGCATGTTTAGCACTAAGTGGATTGGGCATTTATTGATTATGGATGTTGGAGATGGTTTGGGACCTGACTCGTCCCCAGTCGTCTCTCACTTTTTCATCGAAGCGTGCGCTCTTAAAATAAGAGACAACTAGAGGGAAGAGTCAGGTTTGGGACCACTAAAATAACAGTGTTGACTTGTGAAAAACGTCACAAAAGAAAGAAGAATAGAAATATTTAAGAAGGATTATTTCATAAATCTAATTTAAACTTGAGTCCAGGAGCAGCTTTGTGTGTGAAGTTGCCATGCCATACTTGCTTGTTGATGTCTGTAAATGTACCATGACCTTCCAACCTTATAAAGAAAAAAAAAATTCATTAGTAATGCTTACAGAGGAGGCAGGATGGGGTAGATGCGAACAGTGGAAGGAGAGGGCCATATTAAATAACAAAACTTGTTTCTATTGTTGCAGAGTCTTAATTATTGTGTCCCTCTTCCACTCCAGTTTTCCCCTACTGCAGATTCCTATGCATCCCCCCCCCCCCCTCAAAAATTGTGTAATTCTTACATTGCTTGCTTATTTCTAACTTATTTCCAAAAAGTTTCTAGTGTCTTCCTCCTAGTCTGGCACATTTCCTGCACCCTACAGCCCATCAATTTTGCAATTTAATGTCAATACAATATGAAGGCTCTGTTATGGGGTAAATTTCAACAGCTAGGCCCTGTTGAGGGTAAAATTCTATCAGCCACACAACTGTGTTCCAAAAATTGGGACATAAGTATTTATGAAATTCAGACACAGAACACTAGTATCCCACTTTATGGGGTCTCAGTTTCCCTCCATGGAATTTAGGATGGTTATTTTTCAACCAATGCAAAGGGTGCAAAAAAAATAAAAAAAAATAAATAAAATTAAACAAATCTGGTATTCCTATAAACATATGCTCATGATCAACATTCATAACACATCTAGTGCAAATACTATGCATTAATAATTTCAATATGTAATCCTTTTATGGCCCCTTTTCTTACTTGTTTTCAGAAAAGTTCCCTTGATAAATAGAGCCATCAGGCCAGGTGTACTTGCCATACCCATGGAACCTGTTCTCAACGAATTCTCCCTGGAAAGTAGTGTCAAAAGGATCAAATATAACGAGATGATTGTTGATACTGACTCACCTAATTAGAGCCTGAAGCTTGGGATATGTATAGTAGCAGAACCACTATAAAGTGGCCAACCTTCTTGAATTGAAAAGCAGCCACTAAATAAAAGCTTCCTAGTCCAAAAAACTGCAAAGGAGCCAATTAATTAAGGTCATAATTTTTATCTTTACCTCATATACGGCTCCTGAAGGATGTATGAGTTTTCCTGAAAACAACAACATAATGATTAACTAAATTTTTACTCACCTAGTTGTGATTATTTCAATGGAAAGTACTATTCATCATTTTTGGAATTTTTATGATATATTCTTGAAAAACTCTCTCATTTTAATTCTCAAATGTAATCAATTCATTTCTATTTTTCATTGGATTACTTAAATTTGAAATAAACCCATGTTTTGATCTAGTTAAAATTCTTGTACTAGTGGCTTACTTTCTGGTGGTACTCAGTAGATTTGTTAAGAGGTACCAAATTGCAGATCTGGAACCCTACCATGAGAGGTAAGATGAGCATACCAGCCCTCTTCCAACCACAGATCTCCCACCCCACCCCTGCCCCCTCAGACCCCTGAGTGAAAACATTTTAAAAGGTTTGGGGTTAAAGGGTAAAGAAGGCGAAAGCTGATACATCTGTAGGATCTCTTCACCTAAATCTTCTGAAATATTATGGAAAAAATGCTCCCCAACAAAAAGGAAAATTAATTAATATGATGATCTACCTTGTCCATTCATTTTATCATCACTCCAGTATCCTTGATAACACAGTCCTCCTGCAGTTAAATTCTCACCATAGCCACTTCTCTGCAACCCTCCATTAGCTTGTATATATTCACCATCTAACAAAATTCAGACAAGTTTTAAAAGTTTGTTCCTGAAAAGATTTCATCTACTGGTTCCCTGGATTCCAGAGGCCTTCTCACTACAAGGTTTCTTGGTTTCATGGATAGAAGAAGAATTGAATCAAGAGAGATTGCCTCTCACACCCAAGGTAAGCTACTGGCTACGCCAACAACTGTTCAAAAGATACAGCCTTTTTAAATTACCTTTGCAGGCTTACAATAGTCAGAGTAAGACTCTGAATGAAGATTTACATTAATTCTTATTAAGTTCATGGCTTGATGGGGTTTTCTCTGGGTTCCTTATCAAATAATTGTTTACACCTGTGAATTTGTGATTTGAAGTCGAAACTTTAAGGTAGTGAACTGAGAAAACCCCATTTTAAGCCAATCTAAGCAAATCTTGTGGTCTTCCAAAGTCTTACACTGACCATTATTTTGCACTCTTCCATATGGGGCAATGTCCTTGTCATACGCTAATATGGTAATAAATGGTATTCAAGGAGGTCTCGATACAATTTCCCAACACTAATTTTTAGCACAATCCTAATACAAGTCATGCATTTCATAGAATATATATAAAACATTAGCACTAATGCATCGTCTAAATCTCGCTTAAATCTACTCACCATATTTATCACCATTAGGGAACATGTAGACTCCCTTCAGAACATGAGCAGAACCTTGGTGATGTGATTGAGATAAAGACATAAAGTTTAGTAAGCTAGTAGGTTAATATGTCAGTACCTCTTTTTGTTCAAGTTAACTGGCTTTTGGTTTTTGTCATTCTCAATTAATATAAAAGGAACCCTTGCCTAGACTTGGCAGTTTTCTGTTTGTGCATTGCCATTCTGGATAGTCTTGAGATGCATGTTACGTCATAGCTGCCTGATGTTGGTTGACAATAACAGAGCTTTGTTCACAGAGGAGTAACCAGAGGGTGGTTAAGGAGCTGCCAAACTATCTCCCTTTTGCTTGAATTTCTCAATATTATCCTTAGAAAGGCAGTCCCTTTTCTATGCATTCCTGGTAAACCTTTGTAAAAGTCACCCCCCCCCCCCACTCTAAATTTCTTTCATCTGCCACTGCCACATCAGCTTCTCTCATTAGATCAACCAACAAGATGGCTGTTTCATTGTTATCTATATCTCAAGGGATTTTCAGTGGCTGTACACCAAGAATTCTGCCACCAGGTTAGCTCAGTTGGTAAGAGTGTCGGTCTGTTGTGCAGGAGCTCATGGTTCGAGCCTGGGCTGGACCAGTACTCAGGGTCTTAAAATAACTGAGGAGAAGGTGCTGCCTTTGTAATTACATCTGCAAATGGTTAGACCTGCAAGTCTTCTTGGACAAGGTCTTAAAACCGTAGGCCCTGTCTCCCAACCCTTCCTAACCTATATCAAATGGGGGACATAAAAGAACCTGTTGAATTATTCGTGTAAGAGTAGGGGATTGTCTCCCACTTCAACAGCCTATCCCAATTTGGAGGCATAACAATAATGTACTAATAAATCATTATTCACTCATGATTGTAAGCTGCATGCCTGCTATAATAGTGTGTTAATATGCAGCCTGTAAAGTCCTCCACATTGAGGCCATGTGAAATGTGCTATATAAGAACCTCCAATTGTCATTATAATTATCATAAATTCTGTAATAAACTTATGAAGCTAAAGCTAGCTTTAAACCACACTTCAATGTCATAACTTTAAACAGCTGACAAAAATGAAGCAAAAGTCAGGTGTTAAACAAGATTGTAAGCTGAGTGAGGCAATGATAGGAAATCAATAACAGACTTCCTAGCATTTCATCACACAGCTTAACATCCTGAGTATATAATTTACCATGTTCGCTCTTGGATTTGTCCTGCTTCTTGCTGCTTGCTGCTGGAAGTCGTGCATAAAATTAATCGAATACATTCGCCATAATTCGAATTCATGGCTAAAAACATTTTCAGAGACTTCAAATTAACACAAAAAATCATTACGTATTACACTAGACGTAATAATACCTGGCATATTAAGTTATCTGTTATTTTTCGATGCTTTTTCTTGTATTTCAGTTTAAGTCGTCCGCCATGTTTTTCCCCGCACGAGCTTTCTTGGTTTCCCCTGGCAACACATGAAATGCACCCCGGGAAAAGGTTGTAAATATAATAAGAGCTATGATTGGTTCAAATCTTCTATTTCTATTGTGAAATCCTATTGGTCATTTTTCAGAAAATGTTCTCCTTTCCAAGAAGGTCTAGAAGATGTCGAATCACTTGAAAAAAGCCGATAAAAGAGTTGAGAACTCTTCTCCCTGGTTTACATAAACCACAAGGAAAGTAAAAATACTTGGAGAGCTAACATATTTTCGTGCTATTTCTGAGATCGCAAGTTACATTCTGAAGTATTTTCGTCAGAATACACGTTGACTTTAATACATCACTTCAGCTCATATTTCTAGCATGCGATGTCTACCGAAAAGGTTACTAAAAAACCCGGCATAAAATCTAAAGTACCAGAAGTACAAGTAATAGTACCCAAGGAACAGGTACATTCTTATAAGCAGTTTAAGCACCTCGTGGCTGGTGGAGTTGCAGGAGCTGTTTCTAGGACTTGTGTGTCTCCTTTTGAAAGGTTGAAGATTCTACTTCAGGTACAAAGGCTTAAATTGTCAGTCTTGTAATAATGATATATGTTTGTTTATAAAAAGCATTGTAATCCTGACCTTTATCAAGGTATTGATTACTCGTACATCAAAGCCTTTGGTCTGAATTCTAACATGTAAAAACCTATTGCAGATCCAAGTTACCGATGTAAAGTTTAGAGGAATTATTCCAAGTCTAATCAAGATCGGCAAAGAGGAAGGTATCCTGGGATATTTTAAGGTAATTAATTGTTGATGACATATTAAGCTTATGTTACACAAACTATAATGAGTTGTTTTTGTATTTGATGATAAAAAATTCTAAACATGACAATCACGTGAGCACTTAACTAACAGTTTTTGAAAAATATTTGCATAAACGTAAAACATATATTATGATCCTATGCATCAATTCACACACACACACACACACACACACACACACACACACACACACACACATGTCATACCCTAATAACATATCACCAAAACCTCATTAACACCTTTTTTACAACAGTTATTTTGTTGTCATGCTTGATGATCCAGTAAGGATTACCCAAATGTTTACCTTTGTCTTTGTAAATTGTCTGTAGACTATAGCTAGATAAACATTTATAATGATTGTTGTAGAATGTTTAAATATGATAATGAGGAGTGATATTGTGAGAACATTGGATGTGAACATTTTATTTTACTTTCTCATTTTTGTGGCCTTGTGCTTCTAACCCTGTGGGATGTTGAGAGAAGGTAGGGGATTCAAGTCCAAGTCATAATTATACCAAAAATAACTGCTTTAAAATTTTGGATATTTTAAAGTCTTGAGTCACCCCAAATCTTCAGTAGTTTAGGATGCTGTGTTTTATGACTGGAGACTCATCTGCACAGGCTTAGCCTCAGTTAAGAGCAAACCATTTGCAAAAGTCAATGGTATGCAAAGAATGTGAAAAAAACTTGTTAAACAATACCAATAATCTCATGGACTTTGAATGGTATTCTGTGAATAGCTGACAGCAGTTATGCATTGAACAGGGTTCGTACAGGTCATGGAAATCCTGAAAAGTCATGGAATTTCATATTTTTGTTTTCCAGCCCTGGAAATCATGGAATTATGTTCAGGGTCATGGAAAGTCATTGAAAACATTATTGTGAACAGTAAAAATGTTATGATTTATTCAGAGATGTTGCAAATTATTGTTTATAGTTATTATTTAGTTTTTGATAAATATTGGTCATGGAAAATAATATTAAAGTCATGGAAAAGATTATGGAAAGTCATGGAATTTAGAGACTTCAAAAGAGTACGAACCCTGTTGAATTCAAAACCGGTGTATTAAATTGAATGACAACATTTTTATTCAAATCACTAATTTTCTCAGCCATGCATCCCTACCCCCACCCCTGATAGTTCAAGAATAGTCTTCAAGAAAATTTGTAAACAGAGCAAAATTTTAAGTGATAATTGATGCTATTTTGTTCTCGTAGGGGAATGGAACCAACGTTATCAGAATCATTCCTTATTGTGCAGTTCAGTTTGCTGCTTATGAAGAATACAAGAAGGTAAATTAAGAAGGAAAGAAAAAAAAAAAAGAAAAGAAAACACATTGGAAGAGGGTTTTTCTCTAAGTGAGATAATTACAACATAGTACAATGAAAGTTTCTCGCAAAGCAGTCATATGTTTGCATGTAGCTGTGTTACTTTCAGATGGTTAATATAAGAGAAACATCAGAATAGTGTTTTTTGAGAGAATCGCAACAAAGTACTGTAAACGCACAGCCCTCATTGGCAGTCATGCATGTTTTCTTCAAAAATAGACCCCTTTCGTGTGACGTCAAATTTGTAAGACAAGACATGCAAAACAATATATTCTGAGAAATTCTGAGAAAAAATCTCCAGAGAATTGGAAACCTATGGCAATGTACTCCAAATTGAGATGCATTCCCATGTGCTGCAAGGGGTCTATAAATTTTCCCCATGTATACCCTATAACTTGTACAGTGACTGGTTCTTGGAATAAATATGCTAAAACAGCTAGTTGCATATGATAAATATCTATGGATGCTCTAGTTTAGATATATATTTCTATTATGCAAACTTGCCTTGGTTAGTATGTCATTTTGTTAAATATTCATTAGTTTTAAGAAGGTTAAAGAATTTTAAAATGTGATTTATTCCCGATTTTTGACAGCTTCTGAAAATTCCAGAAGACCATTCAAAGCAGACACCAGGAAAGCGTCTTGTAGCTGGTGCAATGGCTGGGGTAACCTCTATAACAGCTACATATCCTTTAGACTTAGTAAGGTACAAGACTCCTTTAATTGATCCAATATTCTTTAGAAACGATTGGTTGTTGTCAAATATTACACTTGAGAGGTGGGGGAGGGGAGGGAGGGGGTATTGGGCTACAGAGGCCAGGAAAGAGAAACCAGAATACAGTTAAGGAAATTAAATCTGGAAACAAAGGCATGAAGTGAATTATGAGAATAGCTTTCATGTATGTTGTATGTTCTTTGGGATCTTCCAGGGTTATTTAATAAAATTATAAATAATTCCTATCTCAAACATACATTACAAATTATCATTTGTAGGACACGATTATCTGTACAATTAGATGGAACAGAAAGAAAATATAGGTATGCAATTAAATTATTATAATTTTGAGTTTTTAATCTCAACTCACTTCAAATAATTCTACATCTTACATCTTACATCTATTTCACCCCGGCCTGCTCTCAGTCTGACCTCTAGCTCAGCTGGTAGAGCATTGGTAGTACAATTCCGAAGGTCATGGGTTTGATTCCCAGTGAGGTCGGAAATTAATTCTTCCAAATTTATTTCCAAGGGTCCTTCGCTCGGAATAACCTCGTTCCCAAGCACTGTAACTTATCTATATTTCTATATCTTGTATTCAAATAATTCTAGCAAATTCCCATTAATTTGTAAATGGTATACCCATCCTTGGTATTTATGTTCAAGTCTATTCACTTGTTTGACAGAGGTATCATCCATGCATTTCAAACAATATTAAAAGAGGAAGGAGGCTTCTTCAGTGGATGCTTATACAAAGGCTTGGTGCCTACTGCATTGGTATGCTTAACTATGAACTTTTAAAGCGAAGATATCTACAATATATATGCAGTCCCAGAAATTATCTGTGTTTTTGGAGTTGTGCCCAACTGAATTCATTCTTATTCAAGGGCTGTGGAATCATCAAACGTAGAGGGATTGACTTGGATCTGAAAATATAGCAGACTAAAATGCATAAAACTATAAGTGGGAGGGCTAATTTAGGAAAATATAAGGGCTATTGCCCCCTCAGCTTCTCCCTCTTGACAATCACTGTTCTTCGCTCCATGGGTGAAGAAACCTGGATATTTTCTTGAACTACACTATCTTATTTATTTAGATGAACTTTAAACTACAATGAAACATTTCACTTGTTGATTCGTGAAAGTATTTTCTTTTTAGGGCATTGCTCCTTATGTTGGTTTGAATTTTGCTGTATATGAAACTCTTAAAGGTAATTAATAGTTATTTTGAAACTGGTAAGAAAAGCATCTTTTGGTGGATGGTTGGCTAGATGGATGGAAGAAAGGTAGATGCATTGGTGGGTGATAAAATAAATGAATGGATGGATAGGTGAAGGGATAATTGAATGGATGGATGGATGGATAAATAGAGGAGGGTAGGGAGTTAAGATGGATGAATTCAGGCTTGCATGCATGGATAGATAGATAGATGGATGAAGGATGGATGGATAGATGGATTAATGGCATTTTAGCAGTTGTAGCAATTCATTGAATGGCTCTTAATCTACTCTAAATAAATTTGTATAAGGAATACATTGGCAAAAATATACAAAGGGAAAAAAATTTAAATCACTGAGTTGCAATTTGATAAATATTCTAACAAATATCTGAATTGCAATATTATATAATGATTTTTGTAGGGGTCATCTTCTCCCATCTTGCATCAGCCCAAGGGACAAGATTGAAGGTTATAAAGAGAGATCATAAGCTACCCATTCAATTTAGGTTATTATGTGGATCTGTTGCTGGGGCTATTTCACAGTCATGTAAGATAAGTTTTGATTTTTGATAAAATTAATCAAATGTATTGTAACTATGTGAAACAAACATTTATTTATATCGGTGGCATGCATTGTTGCAGCACTGTCTCTCATGGCTGTGTTGTTCACTCCTGGGGTCACAGGTTTGAGTCCCAGTTAAGCCTCATATGTGAGTTGAGTATGTTTGATGTGTTGTCTTCTCCCTTTGCCACAAAGGCTTTTCTCCAGGTTCTCTCCTCCTGTAAAAAAACAAGTTGTGGAGTGAACCTAATAGAAGAACTCCTTTTATGGTCTTTGATGGTCGTAAAATATAAGTTTATTTAATAATACTTGAATACTCCCATTTTGATTTCACCTTTGCATAGTAGGGAATGTACCTGTACTACGGACCAACACGAGTTGATGAAAAAGCCACAAGTTTTGGTTGAATAGCTGAATATTATAACACATAACCAAGATTTAGGATGAGCAAAGAGAACTCTAAACTGGAATATTATCCAAATTTTCAATAAATATACTAATCTTATCTTTGTTATATTCCAGTTACGTATCCACTAGATGTTGTACGTCGTCGCATGCAGATGAAGGGGCTCAAACAGCATGAGTTTGCTTACAGATCTACATTACATGCTTTTGTTAGTATTGTACAAAAAGAAGGAGTTAGGGGATTATATAAAGGAATATTACCAAATCTTATAAAGGTAAACGGAAATACTTGGTAATGATGTATGATTCAAAGTTAATTTAGCWAGAGGGTCTGGGAGTCAAGGGTGGCATAGTGGTAAGTGCACTAGTCTCTCACCTCTTGGGTACAGTCTCTGGTTTGATTACCAGACTCTCACTCTTGATAACACGTGAGTAGAGTTTCTTAGGTACTAGATTTCCCTTGATTCAATTCATGATCATTCCACGACTGTATCATGAGATACATTTTTTGAGCCTGACACTGATATATTTTTGCAAAATCCCCCTCACAGTTCCCTGCACTATCTTGAAAGGTAGAGACATGTGAATAATAATGTCCAAGGTGTTAAAAAAGGTCTCTATCATTGCAAGCTCACTGTTTGTCTTGCTTCGATGCAAAGGCACAGCTACCTTTCAAGATGGCGCAGGGAACAGCGAATGGGCCTATTGATCATTAGTGTATAAAAGTAGAACATCATACAAACATAGAGATTGATTTTTTTGTGTTTAATGTCTTGTTGCAGGTTGCCCCAGCAGTTGGTATTCAGTTTGTGGTGTATGAAACAGTCAAGTCATTTATGTATGGACAACCAGTGCATTTTCAATGAATAAGCGGACTTTTGATTGTCATCAGTTATTATATACTCTGAACAATAAGGAGCAATATACAAAGACTGAATTATACCATAATTTATATAAGATTATATTTTTAAGGTAATTATACTATAATAAGAGAATAGATATAAGTTCCAGAGAGAGTCTTATATGTGGAGAGCTTGTTGTTTTGGTTAGATATTTAGCCAGGGAAGATGGCGCAGAAGTCTGCATAATTATATCTTAGCATCGGCTCTTAGCATCCACCCTGCAGGCTCTTATTTTAACGAAATTGCTACAACAAGCACTCCTTCTGTAACCCTCTTCCCATTAACCCTGGTTCACACAAGCATTGGAATCAGAATCGGATGCAACATATATATATATATAGACTCAGTATTGCATTAATTTATCACCTAGGTGTGAAAAAGGACAAGCACTGTTGATGAGCAGTATACTACTGAGTCTGCGTATGTTGCTTTTGATTCCGATTCTTATGCTAGTGTGAACCAGGCTTTAGAGCATGGATTGTGTGTGATATAGCTTGCATAGTGGCTAAAAGGGGTTTTGAAGGGGGAGGGGGAGGGGAAGGGGAAGGGAAAGATAGTGAATCCTCCCCTCCCCTTTCCAAATCACTTTGAGCTGTTATGCAAGCTATGTGTGATAAAAARAATAATCATGAAAGGATTGCTGTATTTACTCCAACTGACAGGCAAAAAATGGGGAGTGGAGCTTAAGTTTGAAGAGTATTTGAAAGTAAAACGAAAACTGAAAGCTGAGAAATAGTATATATTTTGCAATGTCTTCAGTTTGACTTTCATTCTGTTCAAATTTGGCATAATTGAATGCTGATTAAACATGTAAATACATATTAGTATAGACAGTATGTAGCTAGAATAAAAAAAGGTTTTCCATTTAAAGTAACGACAAAAGACTTTAAAAACTAATGTGAAATGAAATTTAGTCATTATTGGAAGGGGTGGCTAACCCTCAATCATACCGGGCCCACTTCTTCCCTGGCTTGGCTTCTTGATATTGAAGATGGCTGCGTTGTCTATGGAATATTGTTTTTCTTTAATATTCATAAATCAACAGACAAACTGCTGGTCAGTCACTTCGAGTATTTAATAATCTTGCATTTTGTATAATTAAAAAAGTTTATGTCTTGATTTTCTTTACATTTTTTTTTATTTTGGTCGTTTTGTTTCATCTATCCATTCAAATTCATATACGACTGTCATGGACTTATTATCCCCACCCTATAAAAAATCCTGTACTCTTATGAACTAAGGAAATTTTGCAACTATTTCCCAATATTTCTCCTTTTCAGTTCACTACATCCAACTTCCTCAAACTGAGTGCTAAGCTATCGGTACCTCAAATTATGGGAAGTGACGTCATTTTGAAATGCATGTGAAAATGACGTCATAAACTATAGACTGGAATCTTTAGCTAACGTTGAACCTTTTACTAAATCTAAAGCATTCGGAATAAGCTGACAGAACGCCAGTGATTGTAGTAAAATCGAATGACGTTTGGTTGGCGTGATCAAGCGTAGGATTACATGCTGATCAATATACCCGTGATATTTTGCACGAAATGGGGATGTATTACGTCACGTCCGGTAAGCTACCGGTAGTGGATTGTAGTATTTTCAACCAATGGGAGGGCAGCTTTATCAGTAGTCTCAGAAGTCAAGAACCTAGGCATTTTATATTTTAGTGAAACTAAAGTTTTTCAGTTTTAAAGCTAATTTTYGTGTTTCTCAGTGCATTGCATAGGATTAGCACGTTAATGCATAATAAGGGTTTCTATATTTAAACGAATGCTGGAATGTTATAACGTCATTATTGGAGATTTCTGCCAAAAATGACGACCGTAAAAGAAGATGCAGTTTCAATATGGTGGGAAAAATACATCCCCAAGGGGCAGTTGATTCATTTAGTTGCTGGAGGAGTCGCCGGTGGAGTTTCCAGGACTTGTGTATCTCCATTAGAAAGAGTAAAGATGCTATTACAGGTAGGCAAGATCCGTTTGATTGACTTAGCAAGGAACTCGAACAATTTGGTTGCGTGACTTCTGCAGTAAAACGACTTCATACACTGAAAGGGCTTCCCAAAATAAAATATTTGCAATTCTTTACTGGAATTACGAATTTTATTGATTGTCCCTGGTCTACGATTTATTCTGATTTCTGCATCCATCTTGAAATAATTTATTTGTTTTGCCTTTGTTTGATCAGATCCAAACTACAGGCCCTAACGTCAAATACTCTGGAGTAGCAGGAACGTTGGCAAAAATCTACACGAAGGAAGGTCTCATTGGATATTTCAAGGTTATTTTTTTTATTCTTAGAACCAAAATGAAGCCTTGTTATAGGCTTGTCGTGTTGTGCAAGTTTGCATACGTGATGTTTTACGTCGGACCAACAGCTGTTGGACGACATTCTTGCTGCCTTTATGTACTGTAGGAAACCTTTTCGCGTCTCGCCATTTACTGCTTGTATTTCATTATATTTGCTACAGTTCCATGAATTCTTAATGAAATCATTGATTGACAGAGCTTTTTTTTATCACACAATTAGTTTTATTTACGTGGCTCCTTTTTACAATTTAACTTTTTAACTTTCAATTGACAGAGTTAATGCAATTTGCCTGCCATGTCAAATGAAGTCATACTTTGCTTGCCATTGCGTAGACTTTAAAAAAATCGGGGAAAAATATAATTGAATCATTTGTTAAGTCAGCTGGCAACCTGTGAATGAAAAATTGACAAATCACTTTATATACCTCATAAGGGTGTACCACAAATCCTCTATTTGATTGGCTGATCTACTAGTATACTATAGCAGCATAGTAATCTTGATTGTCTTTGGTATTTTCTTCCAGGGTAATGGTACAAATATTGTACGCATTGTTCCTTATACTGCTGTGCAGTTTGCAGCATATGAAGAGTTTAAAAAGGTAAAGAAAAGAAAATTCACATCATATGTATGTCCATCTATACTATTCGCTCCCATCCATTTTACCACACATCATATTATCCATCTATAGATCCCATTCAACTTATTCATTAACAAAGTCATCATTAATTTGTATGAATTCATTCAATGTAATCGATTGATTGATTTCATTTTCAGCTGTTCAAAATCCCTACTGATATAAGAGAACAGCATCCAGTCAAACGGCTGGCTGCAGGAGCATCAGCCGGTATAGTGTCGGCAACAGTCACATACCCATTAGACTTGATAAGGTAGTGCTTTTTTTTTATATAAATAATGGGGGCAATTTGACATTTTCTTGTCAATTCACATATGTATACACGTTATGTTTAGTTTCCTGCCATATCAACAGGTTTAATAAAACTTTTTTGGGGTTGTCCCCTCACCTACTTGCTATACCCCTGCCATTATTGATAAAAGTACTATAAAATGTTTTGAAAACTTTTTTTGATGAATTTCTTTATCCATTTCAGGACAAGACTTGCTTGTCAAGGTGAAGGTGCAGAAAGAAAATATAGGTAATTCAGGGGCAGATCCAGGATTTTGTTCAGGGAGGGGTGCTGTGCACAAAGTTAACACAGGGAGGGGTGCACCCCTTAGAATCAAAGGGAAAAAACAGTATTGGTTATCTTCAAAGTAGGGGCACAAAGTGGAACCAGGGAGGGGTGCGCACCCCCTGCACCCCACCCCTGGATCTGCCCCTGTAATTGAATCAGTTATTAACTCAGCAAGTTATTTCTTGAACTAAAACATCCTAATATTAAAAAGGTTTGAATGGAATGTTTTGATTTCGTTGCTCTGACATGACACATAATTTTTTTTTCTATCCTTCAGAAACATCAGACATGCATTTGTTACAATCATAAGAGAAGAAGGTGGTTTGTTCAGCAATTGTCTCTTTAAAGGACTTGGACCAACACTGATTGTAAGTAACAATAGACCCATTAAGTTTGGGCGTAATGTTTCCAATTTCAGAGCATGGGTCATTTTCTAGAGTACCATTTCTTTGTTTAACGGTTGCTGCACACAAGAAAACAAATAATAATTATGAATAGAATCTTATTCTCCTAGGAATGCCAGGAAATGTGATCTGTAGTGGGAAAATTTTAGGCCCAAGCTGAAAATTAATGGTTTATTACATAAAATGATAAATGCTCCTTTATTTGTTTGCATACTGTTAACAATATAATCTCTATATGTACTCTATGTATTTGAAACAGTAAAGCTTAGTAACTTATAAACCACTAAACAAACAGTCATGTTTGGATTTTAGGGAATCGCTCCATATATTGGTCTGAATTTTATGGTTTATGAAACTCTCAAAGGTAATAATGACATTGCATGAATGACTAAATGGTTGTAAAAATTGAGACATATATTTACATTTTTGTGTTGCAGCATTAATTGTACTCCATCTAACATTATACAATTTTCCCTCACAAATGTTGCACTCAACATTCTGGCAGTCAAACATACAACTTACTTTCTTATGTCAGCACTGTAAATGGTAGCTAAAATTGGCATAAGCATGTTGCACATAACAGTAATCATACCAAAGGAATAATATTGCTTTTCTAACCAACAGGTTTTTGTCTAAAGTATTATCTTGCTGAAGCAGCTGGCCATAAACTAAGAGTTATTCACCATGATCAAGACCTTCCTGTTGTTGCTAAACTGGGATGTGGTGCAGTGGCAGGAGCAGTGGCACAATCTGGTAGGCAGTAGATAGAAGTCTCTGTTATGGGGTGGTAAGCAAATTGATTTCCCTGCTGGGGTAGGGATTGTCAACCAGGATGTGGGGGCTGCTAGCTGTTGTACAACTGGTAGGCACTGTTGTGGGCAGTAAACAGAAGAATTAATTTCCTTGCTGGGGTAGGGACAGTCAACCAGGAAGTGGTGCAGTAGCTAGTAGGCAGTGTTGTAGACAGTAAATAGGAATCTCTAGGGGTATGGGGTGAGAAACAAATTGATTTCCCTGTGTTTGAGTAGGGATGGTCAACCAGAATCGATATGCTCCATAGCCAGAACAGTTGTACAGTATGGTGGTAGGCAATAGATATGAATCCCTTGGGGGATGGGGTTAGGTAGCAAATTGATTTCCACTCTGGGGTGTAAGAGATGACATATTACTAGTAACCAGAGCCTATACATTCTGGTAGACAATATCAAATTAAAATATTATAAATTTAAGTTAAGTTAACATTGCTTTCAGGAACATACCCCTTGGATGTAGTACGGAGAAGAATGCAAATGGAGGGAGCAGTCGAGGGACTATTTAAATATAACTCCACTTGGGATGCATTTAAGGTCATTATTACAACTGAAGGAATAAAAGGTCTGTTTAAAGGAATGTGGCCTAATCTGCTCAAGGTGAGAATTTTGATTTTGGACACGAGGGTTCCTGCGATGTTTATAAACATATGGGAACTCTGTGTCGACGTCTGGGAGCTGCAAGCTGAAATTTGTTTTTTTGCTGCTGCCAGTCAAAAATATGAAAGCTACTGACTGATTAAGTTTGATTGACTGCAGCAAAAAAACAAATTTCAGCGTGCAGCTCACAGACACAAAGTTTGCAATTTTATGAAAATTGCAGTAATGCATTTTCATGAATTAGCTTCGATTTCCTCCCCCCCACCCCCCACTCCCTCCTGACATAAATAGTAACTATTATTCTTTTTTTCTAGGTTGCTCCTACTATTGGCATCCAGTTTGCAATTTATGAAATAAGCAAGACCTTTTTGATGGATCAGTTTGAGGTTTCTGAATAATAACGTGAGTTTAAGATTAGAATTAAAATACTCCTGCAGTTGATTTAATTTTTTCACTAGTGGTTTCACTCAAAGCTACCCTTTTATATGAGTGCATCAAGCATTGTCAGTACTTAGTAAGTTTTCATGTCTAGGGTTTTGATTCCTGACCTGCCAATCAAATAGTTAGTAACTCAGGGCTGACCTAATTCATGGTCCTGAATTTTTTTTAAGCTTTCAGATCTTCCCAGAAAAAAAAACCTCTCTTTTGGTGAGATCTCTGAGAATAAAAAAATTGGAGTCTGCAAAGCAGGTTAACCAAGAAAACCCTCAAAGGCTATTGTTCCACTAACAACTATGGCACCGTTACTGTATCTGTTTTAAAGAGTACCACAAGGATTAAAAAGCAATGTGTAGTTCCAAAAATTATCCATACCCCCCTCATGGGAGGAATTTTTTTAAGACACCCCCCCACCCCCCAGAAATTCCAATTTTCTTCCATACAAACTTTGTAATTTTAGTTCTTTCTCTGACCCCCCTACTCTTCGGAAATTCCAAATTCCTCTGTGGGGTGGGTATAGATGATTTCTGGATCTACACAATTTTATTCTATTTTTACAGGACAGTAAATGATAACTGAAACAATTCCTAACCAATTAACAATTAACCAATTTTCTGAAATCAGAGTTTCAAATTCTGAGATATTCTAGCTAATTTGTTGAGCTGGTGGGACATACCAATGATAACTATTAAAGAGGAGTCAGAATTATCTATTGTCTTATTTTGTTTGCATTTCACTACTTTCTAGATGGACAGACGGACAAGATGGAAAGATAAAGATAATGGTCAAGATAAGCAATGCTGGAATATCAATTAAAAAGACAGTCTCAACCAGGAAATCAATGAAAAGTAAACAGTGTAAAGTATTTCATGGTTGAGATAACGAAAAGATTTTGAAGGAATTAATTAAGAATATTATTTAACCCATGAAACAGAATATCTGAAAGTATGATAAGCATGCACAAACATGAATCTTAACACTGTTTTCATTCATTTGCTACTTACTGAAGAMAATAGTAGCAACATGGAAATCGGGGATTAGACAGTCATCAATCAAATAAATTGTTCCCAATGTACGTACCTTCTCTCGGTTCCCATGTACCTTTACAACATGCTCTAACGATTTATTTGATTGACGTCTAGACTATATTAGGATGATTTCCCTGTCTCGACTTTGTCTCAACTAGCTTGTATTACATGTAGCTTGTACCAATGAAAACAGAGTAAGATGAATGTCATGCCAATATAATAATTGTTTTATGGGTCACATAGAAAGACAAAATTATCAGGGTGTTCATATTAGTGTATTCTCTTTTGTATTATAATATTATTATAAATAATAATTTAAAAATTAGTATAATTTATGTAAAGATAATCTGCATGTGATGGTTTCTATCTCCAAGAAGTTAAAAACATTGTCAAGCTAAAAGAAACAACAAGATGCTTGTTGAAAAAAAGACTGATATTCCAGTCAACATTGTGAAGATAAAAGAGGAGGAAAGAGAAGAATGAGAATAGTTCTTTTAAAAAAGTTTAGGAGCTACTGAAATACTAATTGAAGGAGTTTTGGCCATTGTCACCAAATGTATGGTATATTTTAGAATTAACTTTATCTACACATTCAAGAAAAATGCCTGAGAATTCATTTGGTGGTGATATATATTTTAGATAAATAAATTTAAAAATAATTTTAAGAATAATTTTTATGTTTGTCTCTTGCTCTTGCTTGTTTCTCGTTTCCAGAAATAAGTGAAAGAATTTTACCCCTTGAGTTCCTGAAGATGTTCAGTATATAATGTAATATGACACTAGGCAGAGTTAGGGATTATTGATGAAAGCCATTGAAGAATGGCTCTAAATATGCTGCTAGTCAATATAATGATATGGCTATCTGTGATAGATGTAATAACATGATTTTTAAGGCTGGCTGATATATCAGTAGATATTGTCATAAATTAATAATAATAAACATTCTATGGTGTTATAGTAAGCTGTACTTTAATATATTGTTCAAAACTTCATGAATAATTAATGAGCATTTAGACCTATCAGGTCTTTTAAATCCATCACGTGCATGGATCTTTATATTATACCTGATAATAGTTCAACATGGATATCTTTATTAAAGATTTTGAAATCTTTATAAAGGACCAAAAGAGTACAAGAGCATGTCATGAATAAGGACCCTAAAAGCTCATTAATTATTCATGATTAATTATTCATGAAGTATAGTTTAATAAACGGCTACGCTTCATGCTTTTAAACCTGATAAAACACTGTTTGGGATTTGTACATTATACTCATTGGCAAGCATTGGCAAGCATTTTTCATTATAATACTAGACAACTAGGTCCCATATTAAGGAAAATCCTTTTACATATATTGCTGAATTTGGTTCAAGTTTATAGGGAGGTCTGAGTTAGTCTCCTATGGAGATGTCCTCATGCAGTTAAGTCATCACACAACACGGCTCCCATCTCCTATATATAATATACAGATGTCCTTAGGGCCATCATACAATGCTTTTCTCAGATGCATAGTGTCTGCATAGGTGGCTAGGTCTAGACATGGTATCTTCAATAAAAATTTTTTTTCTTCAAATTTTCAAACTATGATGGGAATTAAAGCCAACAACACCCTTCCCTCCCTCCTCCCCCCTCCCCTTAAGTTAACCACTGTAACCAAAGTAACTCAAATTGGCCTTTAGTTTACCACTGTTTCTTGGTAAGGGCAAACATTGACTTTAAAGTAGCTGGACTTGCCCTTTAAGATATTCTAAGTGCATAACTCTGGTGGTGGGGGACATTCTGGTATCTGTCCTAGTAGAAACTTATCTGCCTTAAATGCAGCAATGTCTTGTTCGGAGGATGTCAGTGGACAAGTAGAAGCTGCAACCCCTGATGTACTGCTTGTCTGACCACTTGATTGATTTCCAAATACATTCTGATGGACAAAAAGGATGATAAATTATTTTTATGCCTCACTTTGTCTGCATAAATTATCTTGAAAGGTAACCATATCAGTGTGCATCAAAGCAAGAATGGTGGTGACCTTGAACCACTCCTCCAACTTTAATAATGACATATCCTGTCATTGAGCAGCCATTATCTTAACTGTGTAATCTGCTTACCATGGCTGGCTGACTGTTTCCAGCATTAAACAAACCAGTTCCAGTATTGGGTTGTTTCCCAAATGGACTTTTGTTGCTACTGGGTGCTCCAAACAATGCATTACCAGAGTTCATTGTGCTGGTTGTACCAAATAACTTGGTGTTTTGAGATGCTGAGGATGCTCCAAAGAGACTTGAATGCTGTGATGGACTTGTGCTACCAAACATTCCTTTTCGAGAGAGAAAAAAAATTTTAATTCTTGGGGGTGTAGCACAATAAGGAACTCAGGAATAAGTATTTTTTCTGTCAATAATTATGCTTGGGAATGCCCATGGTGATCATGGGGATTGATTAAAACTACCAATAACTGGTCATTTCACACTGCCAGCAACAATCAGCAGAGTTACCTTGGAATAAAGTTCAAGCCAAAACTCAATAATAACCCAATAATGATGTGTCATATATACAGCAACAGTAATGGTGCTGAGATTGGATGAGCAGCCTTGGGGTTCAAGCGCTGCAGATAAAATCTTAGTCTGCTCAGAGCTGGATCAACTTGACATTTTCATGTCAATTTTGGTCCCTGCTATGTTTTTGCAATGTTATTAATGGCTGTTATTCTTAGCCCATCATGCCATTTATAAGGCCCTACAAAATCAACTTCAAGGTTATCAACCATTTCTTTAAAACTAACAGTATTACTATAATACTAGTACCTGCGTTAGCTTGATTTGATGTCATTGGTGATGATCCTGGCAATGATCCGAAAGCAGTTCCCATGGGTTGTTGTGTAGGAGAAGCAGATCCAAACAGACCCCTACTCTGATTAGCAGCTGATCCAAACACCCCCTGTGATTGGCTCATTGCCGCTGATCCACTAGACATGTTTGATGACTGGCCAGCTGACTGAAGACTCATACTGGATGCACCTTGAGATTCAGATTGTTTTGATACAGAAGCCCTGATCTCCGTTTGCTAAGTAAAAGAATTAGTTTATAATTGCAATTAGAAGTAGTGGTCAGTATATACCCAAGGGTCAATTCATTTAATTCACTCATTACCAACAGATGAGCTTGGGGTTGGGGACAATCAGGGACTAGCCTCACCAGCCCTAGTCCCTCATGGAAGTAATCATGGCAACTATACCCGATTCTACCCCCTGGCACCTAAAATTCACACTGAAATTCAGTAGAAAATACTTCCTATACTGTACATGTACATGCCAAGAGCAGGGAGGTGGGTGGGTAAATAATGGTTAGCAACAATCAGCAATAATGTGAGAGCTAGTGTGTGTTTGATCTGCTAAATCAGCAAAGAAGGGCAGTTAGTCAAGCGGAAAGCACATTTTAAGCCCATGAGACTCCTCAGATACCCCCAAACAGCTACTATATGGGAGACCACTGCTAAGGACTGTCTTGGTTTTAACCTTCCCTACATTAGATTTAGCCTCATATTAATAATTTCATTTATCTGACTTATGGCAATGAACTCAAACACACTAAACTCTTGTGTAGAAAGGCTGCACATGAAAAATGCCCACAAATTTATTTAACATAGCATCAAATATAAGTTAGATTGACCATACCAGTTGATGCATTTCCATATTCTTCAGTTCCAATCTCCTTTGTCTACTCCTTTCCAACAAGTTTTTCAGTCCTTGTTCCTAAACATATTTCAAGTTACTTTCAATTACAATACAAAATACAATCCATACAGCAAAAGCAACACAGTTTTAAAGGAAATTACTTACATATACTGACACCTTGTTGCCTATTTTAGCATCATAAGCTTCCTTCCTAATTTCCTCAGGCGAAAAGTCCACTAGACCTTGATATTATATTCATTTAGCGAAAAGAAAATTATAGCAATAATTTAATAAACTGTTGAGGGGAGGCGGGGAAAGTCAGCAGAATAATACAGTCTTGAGTTTTCTGCTGCCCAGGGTGACGTTTGACTTTTTGAGGGGTGTTCCAGTGAAGTGTTTTTAATCTTGAAGTTGTGCATTCTTTAATTTACTGTTGCTATTTGTGATCAAATTAACGAGGCCAAGACTGTGCAAATGAGTCGGTAGTCTTCAAAAGCAGAAGATGCATACTGATACAAAACTTGTAAACAGCTGTATTTCAAAGTGTTTGTGTTGTTGAAGTTGTGCATACTTTACTTTACAGTTGGTATTCATTGACAAATATTTAGACTCTGAAATGAGGCTAAGACTGAGTAAATGAACCTGTCACCAAGGAACACAGACTAGGTTAAATTGACTCTTTCTTGGTGTTACAGGGCACCTGAGCCATGAAGACAATAAAACAATAGCCGATAACAATGAGTTTGGAGCTAAGCAATACCCTGCAATACAATACCCTAACCCAGAATACAATACATCTTGCAATATCAAGAAAGACCTGTTAAATTTTGAATTCAGCAAAGGTCTAYTGGTTGACTCACCTAATAAACAGGGTTCATCCTTGAGGTATGTATAACACGATAATGGCCACTGCTTACTTGTCTCCCAAGCTTCCATGTCACGCTTTACAAATTGTCTATAATAGATTAATTAGAAAGCATAACATACAAGGAATGGAAGTGTCAATAAATTTGTGAAAATTGTAATCATTCATAGACTGAGCTCATCAACCAAGTACAGCTGTAGAAGGTCCAAAGTCCATAAAATCTTGGAAATATACTTGCCTCACACATCTGGGATCTCAGGTTTGATTCCTAAACTTGGCAACACAAGTAAGAGACAGAAAATGTTATGCATAGCTTTTTGTGTATATCTGTATATTGTAAAGTGGCACGTCTTTGTTTTAATAAAGTATTTATCATAATATATATATATATATATATATATATATAAACACAAGTAAGTAGAGTTTGTTGGGTCTCCTCCTTGATCAAAGGTTTTTTCTCTCCAGGTTTTCCAGTTTTTTTTCTTGCTATATATATATATAATATAAATAATGTAAACTTACTGGACTTGATTCATTTGTGTTGGATTTTGCAGAATGGCTTCTGTACTTGAATGTTGTTGCTTGTTACCATCAAAACTACTCTGCTGTACACCTGTTCCCATGTTTACCTCATTACCAAGAACACCAAATCGATTCTACAACAAATACATACAACAGTAATTGTATATAAATTTGGTTAGTGTAAGTCATCTGCCATTGCCATGACCACTCCACCAGAGAATGATACACCTGTCACTCAAACATTGCTAGGGTAGCATGGGTGGCATTCGCGGCTAACACGTCATCTTTCACTGTTGTGAGTCCAACGGGTCGGGTCGTTAGCTCGAGACCTGCGGTCGCCACATGTGGATTGAGTTTGTTTGATGTGTTGTTCTCTCCTATGCTACAAGGGTTTTCTCCGGGTTCTCCGGTTTCCTTCCTCCATAAAAATCAACATGTGACTTGAGTGTTGTATGTTGTAAATATAGAATGTAGTGGTAGTGCGTGTGGAGGGAACCTCACGGAAGAGCCCCGTACGGGGAGTCGTGGTTGTAAAATATTATTTTATTATTATTATTGCTTCGGCAGGTCTGTCCATGCTTTTTTACATATGCCTACTTCACACACTTCTCATCATCATTCTGATTATTATATAATAATATTTTACCTGATTTCTGTTGAAAGGTGTATTTTTATTTCCAAATATTCCTTGTCCTAAAGTAAATGTGAAATTAAATCTCATGGCATTGTATAGTCTATGCATTTAAAAAACAAATCAACCCAAGCTAATTCAAACTGGATAGAGCTGTGCTCCAGGGTAATACGTGGACTATAGTGGCTGCCAGAGATGCCTTCACACGGTTTCAGTTTGACTCTGTTAACCCTATGACAAGTGATAACAAGTTGTTTTTTTTAAAGAGAAATTGCTAGATTTGATGTGAGGTGGCTAACCTGCAGCTGGTTTGGTATGAGCAAATTTGCAAGTGTTGCCATATCGACAATAAGTGCCTCTTAAGAAGTACTGACAGATGTTTTTATTTGTTGCACCAAAGTTACCACCACCACCACCACTGCCGCCTCCAAATCCACTTCCTCCTCCAAAACCACCAGTCCTCCCTCCTCCTCCTCCTCCTCCAAAGACACTTATTTGTGATGGTCCTTTAAAAATAAAAATCAGATGAGATTCTTACTTGTGAAACATGCAATCAGAGTTTAATATTCTTGTTTTCTTGTTCTTTTATTGATATTCCACCGTCACCACTTCATGGCTTTCTATCCTGCTCCCCTCCCCACTCCCAACAAACGACCAATTTTGAAAGATGAGGAGTGCACACAGTACTTAGCTTGGCACGAATACTTAGAGCTCCTTAGCTTTATTAGGGGTAATGCTTTCCCATTTCAGACTGCATGTCATTCTCTTTAGAATAGTTATAGGATTTTTTAGTTTCAGTTGTATACATATTTTTGGGTATTCTCATATGCAACCGTTAAACAAAGAAATAATACTCTGGGGATTGACACGTTGTCTAAATTGGACAACAAGTCTAACACGCCCAGTTTATATTTTTCATGGGTTTTTATGTCTGTACTATAAAATTTCATCAATTAAATGCCTAACATAAAGCAAGTGGAATAGATAAACTTTCTCATAACTCGTGAACCATTTTGAATTAACGAAATATAATCACTTTTCGACTGTAAAAACACAATTGGTTCTTTTTTGACTTACTTCCTCCTGGATGCTCATTCCGGCATCTGTCTCCAAATTTACAATCTCCTTTTAAGAAAAACTGGCACACCACCATTGTTGCTCACTTAAGGTCGCTTACATGTATAGAATGGAAGTTTTTTCTAGTGAGAAACCTGTTTAGTTTTATAAAATTTTATGAAGTATCTTCAAAATTTCAAGTAATCCGCCATTTTGGATATCTGGCTAGTTCCCAGTTTTATTTCCTTTTTTAAGACACAGGCAACCCAATTTGATGTCTCCAATAGTGCATAGCAATGAACAGTGGTATTTTGTAGTTTGAGATTCTCCAAACCACATCTTTTTAAATCACTCCTAAATTTTTAGCAAAACAATGTACTCATGCATTTATTACATCAAGGCTTGGAAATAGATTCCCTGTGAGACTAGTACTCGGGATCGGGTAAACGCACAAAGCCGCACGAAAACCGCAAAATGCGTGACCCAGAATTCCACAGAAAAATAAAAGAAGGATCTTGGTTGACCAAGGACTGACCTTCGATAAGGATGGAGAATTAACAAAATGATAAAATAAAAAAGACTGAGATTGTGTGGGTTAGGAACTTTCACTAACTTTTATTCGCTAAATCATTGGGAGATGATCCTCACTAGTTCAATGTTGTGGTTAGCACGAAGCGCGAGGCGGGCCTCTGAATGAAGCAAAGTGTATGTGGCTCAGTGCAGAAGGGGGCTTAGAGGAGCTTTGGGAAAATCTAGGAAGTCTAAACTGTCTCGTAAAAATAAAGTATGTTGAGTTTCGAGACGCTTAAAAGTCGTTGCTCATCAAGTGGTGAGCACGAGGCGGGCCTGCGAATGAAGTGTGTGCGGGAAGTGTGGGGAGAGAGCACGAGGAGGAAAGCAAAGGGAGTTGTGAGAAAATCTAGGAAGCCTAAACTGGGAAACAAATGAGAAAATGTTGCGCTACGAGAAAGTAGTCGTTTGAAGTCAGCGAAGAAGTTTTGGGGCATGTGTAAGAGACTCTTGTACTGCACTAATTTTATGTATTTGTATTGACATGTTGCATATACAAAAGATATAAGAAAAAACTTAAATATTTACCTAACCATATAGCTAAGCTAAGACGTTTATGCTAAGGATATGCCGCCATCAATCTTTTGCTTATTTTCCTATCTACTTATCTATCTATACATACACACTAAGTGTTTGTTTTTTTTACATAAATATTCTTATCCATCTGAAAAGCCAATAAATAAGTCACGTGGAAACGTTTTTGAAAACCTGTGTTTCCTGATGAATAAGTAAATCTAAATTTTTCAGAATGAATCTGATCATGATTCAATTGAGCATGAGCTTCATTCTCGTTGCCTTCATTTTCTTTTTGATATGAAATGTTTAATTACGTGATATAGCTGAAGGCCATTTCGCTTTAGCCTGCCTGCACCCCGTTTTTAACTCGGGTTTAGACTTCAAGACGTCGGGCTACATAAAATGCTACCTTGCTTAAATGAGTCCAGAAATCAAACACAGATGCTTGCACCTACGAGGGATGAACCGTGGCAGCTATTGAATTATCCTTGATCCCTTTTCACATTTTCGTTGTTTGTCCTCGTAACGGCGGCAGTTTTCTTGGAGGTGGTAGTCTAGAAGAAATATCCTCATCCTCCAGTGCGTGTAGTGGAGAAGCATCATCTTCATCTGATCCGTAATCTTGGTTGTCCTCGTATTGCGGTGAACCACCTTGATTTTTGTGTCGTCTCTTCTTCTTCTTCTTCCTGCGTTTTGAGTGTCTTCTCTCATGATCACTCTCCTCGCTTAGCTGATCTTTTTCCTCTCTAACATTTACTTCACATCCTTTGTTTAAATAAGAGCCGTCAACTTTGGTTTCGTATAGATTTTCAATTTGTCCTTCATCTTCGTGTCTTCGCTCATTTGTCGGAGGAGGTTTATGTTCGTTTTCGTTCACATCTTGGTCGCTATCTTTTTCGTTTTCGTAATAAAGTCTTGGTTCTTGTCTTAGTTGTGGTTTGACAGCAACCTCCGGTATTTGTTTGACGGGCGGTGCTTGGAAAGGACTCTACGGTTTGGAACCTTCCGACTTTTGCTTTAAGAGGAATTGGCGTCTCTCTTCTTTCTTGATTTGCTCCAATTTTTTTTTACTGTAGACAAAAGCCGATAATGAAACTATATAAGTATTACGACAAAAATTGCCCGCGACAGAGAGTACAAATGATCAGGCCTAAGAATAATCACACACGATAATTGCGCTCATAACTAAAATCAAAATTAAGTTAAAATTATGTTCTTTAACACAAAGAAACAAACTTTATATATATACGGAAAAGTTAACAAATTTAAAATGTACTGGATCGAATCCGATCGATTAACTTGTCTAACGTTGCTGGATGTCCCTCTATGATATTGGACACGGTATCTACTTGATGAGTTGCAGCAATTCAAATCTTATTGGCATCAACCTGTTTCTCCGACATAATTTTAACAGCTTGTCATATTCGTATTTGGCATGCCGCAACTCTTCTGACATGCAGCAACTCGTTTCTTATTTACAGCAACTCGTTTCTTATTGCAACAACTCGTTTCTTATTTGCAGCAACTCGTTTCTTATTTGCAGCAACTCGTTTCTTATTTGCAGTAACCGCTCGTTTCTCATTTGCAGCAACTCGTTTCTCATTTGCAGTAACTCGTTTTTTATTTGCAGCAACTCGTTTCTCATTTGCGGCAACTCATTTTTCATTTGGAGCAACTCTTTTCTTATTTGCAGCTGGGACAACCAGGGAGAATAATATGGATGCTATTTCATAAAATGATCGTAAACTATAGCCATGTCCAGCAACAGTTTTAATTCAGTCAGCGTGTTTGGTCATGTATGGAAGTAATACTTAACAACAAATTTACATGGAMAAAAGTGGAGAACTACCGAAAACGGAACGAAAATCCGCGATTCAGATGGAGTGATCCGTCTTTGGTCTTCAAAATGTAACTAATATATATATATATAATATAAAAAATAAACTACTTACTGACAATAATGAAGACAGCAAGCCAAAATAATAACAAAGATCAGAAGACCAAATCCAACTGGGATCATAATGGAGTCCATAGCGTTGTCAGTCTTAGGTTTGGTGGTACTACCATCAGCTGTATTCTTCACTTGCGCATTAACAGCAGCGCCTATTTGAGTGCTGTTTGCTTCAAGGATACCATCAAGGGTACCCTTGGGAAGTACTGTCGAGTTCGGTTTCCTGATGTCATTCCCAGACGGTAAGACAACGTAAAACTGTATTTCGATATCTGTTTCTACTTGTTTTGGGTAGTTAGACGCTATGGTGACGTCAGAGTTTCTGAAAGTCCTGCATTAAATAAAGGTCGGTTGTAATCATTGATCAGTCAAGCAGTTTTTCTATCTGTCTGTTTGTCTATCTTTTGGTTTGTCTGTCTGTTTGTATACCTGCCTGCCTCTGTCTGCCTGTCTCTTTGTTTAATTGTCTACTGCCTTTCTATTTGACGTTGTCTGTCAGTCAGTTTATCTGTCTCTCCGTTCGTCTGACTGTCTATCTTCAACCTCTGTTTTTCTATTACGCCTCTCCATTTCACCCTCTCTCCCTGATTTAAAAGTGGCATTCTTAATAAACACTCGCACCAAAAAAGGTCATGGTTCTTTTAATCATATTATTCTATATACCTCGTTGTGTTCCAGAAGCGTAGGGCACAATTGTCATAATTACTCGAGCAGTAATCATTAGCAACTGCAGCTATCACATCTTTAAACTTGGCTGTCTTGTCGTCACTACTCCACGACGAAATAGTTACGTCTCTGAATGCTACGATTGCTGTATTTTCCTTTGCATCATCTATATGATAAAGATTCAGAAAAAGTTAGGAAATTTAGAAATCAGTGACAAGAGCCTTATATCAAGAATTCAACTGTATATAAATCTATACCTCTAATAATTTCAACAACTTAATTAAACATCTGATCGATCTTTCACCAAAAAAAAAATCCTTAACGATATGATCTATACTTTTATTAATTAGCGACATTTATGGGGAAAAATTGACTGACAAATTTCATATTCTCGACGCTTGCTAATTTTATACYTGAATAGTACCTGTTCCGATCTCATCGATCGGTCATTGCAAAATGATTCTCTTAGCTTCGCCTTTACGGGCATATTGCAGGATAGTTTTATTGGAAAGTAAAAAAAAAGAAGAAATCAAAGACCATTTTAAAGTATCTTATTGTCTATGACTTTATTTCAAAGCTTCTGTATTTAAAAAGCGTTTGTGTACGGATAAACTATGAATGTTTCGATCGTGTTTTCTTTTTTCTTGAACCTCGCCAGCTGTGGTGGGC